TGAATAAGCTGTTAAGTTGGCCTTTGACTTTTGATTGGTCTCCCAATGTTTCAGCCAAAATGAACCTCAACCTACTGTTGTGGCTACAACTGACCTTGAAGAAAAGACTGGTGAATTGTGCCCTATATCTGCCACATATTGCATTACCTTGTACATTTTGAGTAATTGATACTGCGGAGTTAATGCAGACATATCATCAGTCTCCAAAACATCCAACGACCAAGGAACTGCAACTCTTGTAAACACTGAAGCAGCTGCTGAGGATCTAACAGCCAATGTAACTGCCTCATGAGCCTTTCTTATAACTGAGTCTGTCCTTTCCTGTGGATCCTTAAAGGTGTGTCACCCTTTCTGGGGGCAATTGATCCTGAAATCAATGTTGAAACAGGAGCATGCACAAGGAGCATTGCTAAGAAATCCACAGTATGCTTTCCTAACATATAGCTCCTGAATGTAATCTAAAAGTCTCTTAGTAGTCAGAGACATCTTCCATTCTATGTCTATGAAAGATCTCCAGCACTGGAATTTCTATATTCATTGGAATTGGTTTATTTAGTACACTAGCAACTTTACTTCTATTGGATTCTTTACTAGCATTTTGTGCTTTGATTTGCTTTTTGTTGGTTTTATAAACACAGCATCACTAACATTTTTCTTAAGAGGCCTTTGAAATACTCAGCCTTAAATAGACTGGCAGAACTTCCTTCTGATTCCCTCTACTTCTGAGGATTGTTCATCCTCACTATTAACCATCGTGTTATCTGATCCTTCACTTTCACAGAGTGAATTCTCATTCTCCGATCTTAAATTCTTCTCATCATCATTGCAGCATATTTCTCCAGCTTCAGCAGAGTATTTGCTGTGATATTAACATTCTATTCTCTTTTTTATTTTGTTTAGGCTTTTGTGCCTTACGGTTTGTTTTGCTGGCAAGCTTTGCTTCTGCTCTGCTTTGTCCACACATCTCAAATCCACCTGTATTATTTACTCTTCGTTTTCACTCTCACTGGAGGACTGAAATTTTTTTCTCAGTTCCTCCCCTTGCTCATCTTGAAACACCTTGGACAGCAGTCCTCTGGGTAGCAATATTTTTCATTTTATCTCATCCCCTAATAAGCTCTCTTAATTTAGGAATTAACATTAACTCTACCTTATTTTTTGTCTCTGCTTTCTCCCCCACCTCCCACCATCTGAACTCACCTGTCCCTTTTCTTCTCTGACTTTTTTCTCCATCTTCTAGTCCTAATTATCCTTTATTAATTCTACTTCCTCCTCCTTATTGAACTGGAGAAAGGCAAACCATATTATATTGGAAGGGCAGGATAGAAAAATAAAACTAATGGAGAAGTGGGGAAAAGTCCTAATGGTAGAAATTGCCTAGTTGGGTTGGCAGGTGGGGATAAACCCAATCATAGTAGACTGCTACTCTGTGCCATCCCAAGAATATCTTAATTTAGTGAGAAATCTAGCTAAAAAGTTAATGGCCCAACTGTGACATTCTCCTGCTTGCAGTACTAACATTCTTAGAAGGCTCTCTTGTTATTAAGTGCCCCCGAATGAAACAATATCACTGTTCATCAGACTTAAATGTACTTTGAATGTCCTATAAAGAAATTAGGTTCAACTGCATTTGAAAGCATATATATTTAATACTGTTAACTAAATAGGTTCTTGATTTATTGCACTTTATGTATACATACACATGACAGTTCTCCCACACATGCTACAATAAAGCAATAGCTACAACAGGAAATAACAGTTTCAACACAAAAACAAAGTATTTACAAACCTATGACTGTACATGAAAAACTCCAAACTACTATTATATAATGCTAAAAGTTTAGTTCTCCTACCCATAGGAGAGATTTCAGTTTTCCTAGTTTTCTTGCCTTTGGTCAAATTTTGAATGAACTGATAAAGGCATACATGTAGTCAAGTTCCCTTAGGTACCTGAGCTGCCAAAAAAGAATACTGTTGCCATGTATGGAGACACATGAACTGTTTGACATGCTGTCATTGCACTTGTGCAAAAAGTACTAGTGGGGGGAAGATGATCCCCTATTCCTCCTCTTTTCCCCAACATGCTGTAAATCCTGCTCTAAAGGGGCAGAAAACACTTTGGAGCAAGTTTTTGACTCCAGAGAGGGCTGCAGGGGAGATGGGACCCAAATCCCAAGGCTGTATGCATCACATTCAATATGGCCAGATTAATTTGCAGCTTTCATTTTCCCTAATATAATACAGTATTACAATCCAGTAAAGATTCAAGTAACTACAATCAGAACAACTTATGATATCCAGAACCTGTGTACATACATTTTAAGACAGAAATTTGTTTAAATAGAATAAAAAAAAAAAACACCTAATGGTCCAGTCCAACCAACTGCATACATTCTGATCCTATTATTGGATACCTTATAAACAAGAAACTTATGAACAAGAAACTTTGAAAAAGCAACCACCAACTCAGATGCCCCATCGTCTTACTAAGCTGTTATGCAAAATCCTTTTTTGTTGCCATGGTAAGCAAATAGCATCAGGCCTCCCACAATTTAGCAGAGCTGGGCAATAATAGCTTACAGCACTTTAGATCCAATGAGGAATTAACTGAGACATGGGTTTTAGACTTGAAAAACTTGGCCAGGATCCAAGAACCACAAGTTCTGAATGCTTAAGAAGACCTTTAGCTTCTACTACTTAGGCACCAGCACACTATGCTTCAGCAGCAGCAACACTTCTGTGGGTCCAAGGACATTGGAGGGATATATACCCTTCCAATTGCTCAGGAAAACATTGCTGCTCAAATGGCAAATCATATCCACAGCTGGAGAAGGAGTGTTTTTTGTTTCTTTAATGCAGGGGTCGGCAACCTACAGCCCATGGGCCGCACCCAGCCCGCCGACCGGCCCCTGCCAGTCCTGCTGCCACCGCCGCCTTTCATGGCTGCGGGGGTCCTCCGGGGCTCCATTCTGTGTTCCGCGACGAGAAAGGTCATGCGAGACTCCAGGCACCATTTTGGAACACAAAATGGCACCCTGGAGGACCCCTGCAGCCGTGCTGGGCCTCTCCGAGACCCGGCGCAGTTGAGGGAGCCCTCCTGGGGGACCCCCGCGGCTGCGCTGGGCTTCTCCAAGGCCCGGCGTGGTTGAGGGAGTCCTCCTGGGGGACCCCCGCGGCTGCCAAAATGGCGCCCTGGCATCGTGCGCATGCGTGCGCGATGCAGGCCGCCATTTTGGTTTCCAAAATTGCACCCCCCACACGTGCACGCATGCACACAACGGTGGGAGTTGTGTGCATGCCAGCCCTCAGCGCCATTCCCCCCCCCGGCCCACCGGCAAAAAAGGTTGCTGACCCCTGCTTTAATGTTATTTCAAAATCCCGTGGGTGTGTTTGAAACCAGAAAAGGGCTTCTTTCAAAATAGTGAGTCTGGTTGGTCACTTCCAATTTCAAAAGAAACTTCTCTGATCTAAAACAGTGGGATGGGGCAGGTTTACATAAGGCATGGCAAATTGGCCCCTACAGATGTTTCTGGGGCAGACTTTGCAATTAGTGTTTAAAAAATAAACATTTTGGGTGTGTGTCACAGTTCCATACTTAGCCCACCATACTTCATGGTAAATACAGTTCTGAATGTAAGATTTTCACAAGCAGATTATGATCAGCTTTGTTAAAAGACCAACTTCATTGGGCTCCTTCTCTCCCTGAAGTATTTTCATTCTAGCTGGAAAATGTAGGAACTACTCCTTAGTTTTAAGAATTAGTATAAGGATGTCTGGACTTGCAATGTACATGAAAACTGACATAAAGGAACTTTGATTTCATCTGGATATATTACAAGCAAGTATCCTGCCACTGCTGTTATTTTGAGTGGATAAATCCCTTGTGGTGGTTGTTTCCCCCCCCCCCCCCCCCCCATCTCCAATGTGCATTTATCTACAAGCAAGTCCTACTAACAGTTTTTTTTGGTCTTCTGAATAAACATGTATAGGATTGCGCTCTAAATTCTATAAATATGTGAAGTAGTAGAATGTTATATTCTGTCTTACAAATGAAGCATTTTAAGTGGTTAAAACAATTTTAGCACTGATTTTAAAAAGTACTGCATGTATTAAATTTGTCTCTACAAACACTGGGTGGAAATCCAAATCAATGTCATAAATTTCAAGTGTCATACTATGTTGTGACTGTTCTGTTCACCCAAAAGGAGTAGTAGAGCCCCCCAATATCTGAAAATAGCTGTTGTTGCCAAGGGGTGCAAAGGGAGAGAAAAAAGAGCCATCCTGCAGTGTCATTCTACTTTGGATCCAAGTCACTGCCATGTATTTTATAAATTATATTTGATACCTGAACAAGGTCAACTGGCAGGTTATTCCACTGTCTAATAATTAAGATTTGATATGGTATATCTAGAGAGTCAGCATGGCGTAGTGGTTTGAGTGCTGGACTATGACACTAGAGATCAGGGTTCGATTCTGTATTCAGCCATGAAACCAACTGGGTGACCAGGGCAAGTCACATGCTTTCAGCCTCAGGGGAGGCAATGGGAAACCTCCTCTAAAAAATCTTGCCAAGAAAACCCCATGATAGGTTAGCTTTCAAATAAAGTACTGATTAAATAATGAAATCACTGAACTTGGCATTTTTTAATATACAGAGTTGGTACAACTGTAATGCTAACTTATTTTCTGCCCCTTCAATGTTAATTCCTAAAGTTTGTGCACAATTGTTGAATTTTGGATCAGAACCATTACATTGTTTTAACTAGCATATTTGACTTCACTTATACTTTCTTCTACACTGTAGTTTTTTGCACAGTTTGTTTTTCTAACTCTTTTACTTTTAAACACAATGCAGTTGATATTTCCAGAGGAAAAGATTTAGAATGATTTTTGAATGGAAATATAATGAGTTGCTGGGGCCTTCAAAATATATTTGACAAAAGTTAAAATGAGGTAATGTGCTTAGCTGCCTTATTTCATATTTCTAGTAATAGCTAGAATACTTAAAATTATTTTAGTATGTGAAATACTACCTACTCTCATCAGTGTAAAACACTAGCAAGTCAACACTTCAGAAAAACAGGTCTTACTGGATATTGTAAATTAGAAATTCCAATTCCGTAATCTCTTTGCTAGAAATTCTGGTTTATAATTACTTACTTATAATGTGAAAGTACTGAACAGTATGCTAGTGCATAACTAGAAACTTGTAGGAGTACGTTACATGATTGAGGATAAGACAGAGATTATGGCCATGTGTTACAAAAAATACAGTAATGCAAAACTGTTGTAAAAGCTTTGTTTGGTCACCATTGTGAAACAAAGTTCAAAATGTAAAGACTGAAATCAAGCCATTCCCATGATCATGCTTGTGAACTTGTAAGGCGAATGTGTCTGTTATCCAGCAGAAGCTAGCTAGCTTCTTGTGTGCTTTTATCATTTAGTTTTAGAGTCCATTGTAGTGACTAATGTACTTCTGATGGAGAAATCAAGAATTCTTTTAAACTGCTCATAAGATTTTGTTATGGGAAGCTCTAAGCAGTTACAGTGTCTCTTTCCAATGGGGTACTTTATATGCAGAAACTTAACTGAAGGTTCAGGATCAAAGCCAATGGGTGGAATATTCCGAATGCCAGTTGCAAATACTAAGATGTCCTCCAGAGTTACAGCTGACTCACCACCTAAACCAAGAAATATGAAAGAATTTGATTAGCTTTTATAAAATAGCTTAAACAAGACATTATACATTATGTAGGAGCAGGATAAGCTTAATTTGGCATTTCTATAATATCAATTTAAGCATTTACATTTTTAAACATTCCAGACCACTAGTTCATAAATGGACTCCTATGTGAATGCCTCCCCCCATTTACCTTCTGTTTCCTGCAGGTAACCCATCCAGAAATCAAGACTTCTGGCTTTGTCTGCTCCTCGTAAACAGTGAATTGTGAAGAGATCACCAAGAAGTTTTGCTGAAAGATCTTCAGGCTTGTGACAGAGTATGCTACAGAATGCATCAGGACTCATCTGTATTTTTTCCAGAACATCAAGTGTTTTCAGACCTTGTTCAAAGCTAGGGGAGGGAAGATGTATAGAAAGAAAAACAAAAAGTATTGTGAGGCTTTTCCAAAAAAAGAAATTAAAAAAACAAACCTTTTTTTCCTATAGATACTTTTCTGTTATTAATAATGCTTTAAATTTCTAAAAACAAGAAGGTACCGGCTTGTCTTATATTTATTTGCTGGAATGATTAAAACTGATTTTACAGACACATGCCTGCATTTGGATGAATTGCAGGGGCTACCTAAAATACCTGTAGTGGAAGTGGTGCTGACTCTTGTGCTTCCTAACTATAATTTTTCAGATGTACTGAATTTCTATGGAAGCTGCTCAGTTCCCTTCCTCAGATTTCCTCTTCTGTGATGTTAAATCTGGCTGTTGAGTGAGTCCTTGTTATCTGCTGGGGCCTGGTTCCAGGAGTCCCATGGATACCAAAATCTGTGGATGCTCAAGTCCCATTAAATACAATGGCACAGTAAAATGGTGTCCCTGATATAAAATGGCAAAAACAATGTTTTGCTATTTGGAATTTATACTTTTTTAAGAAATGTTTTCAAGCTGTGGTTGCTTAAATCTGTGGATAAAAAAATCCATGAATAAGGAGGGCTGATTGCAATTTAGACTCACCCCAGAAACCCCCCCCCCCCAATATTTCAATAGTTAGGGGTATATGTGTTTTACTCAATGTAATAATTAAAATGCATATTTCTAATATGAATAAATTCAGAGGAGAAAGCAGTCTACTGAAAACCACCACTAGAAGGACTGCACAATGTAAGGAATATAATACATGTTTTAAAACTATAGAAGCAGAACATCAGTTACATAATTTAACAGTGAAGTGGTTCTGAAATCGCCCTGTCGGTCAGCACTTCCCTGGCCCCAGACCCAATATGGGTCGGGTGTGGCGCGAAACCTCCTCGGCCTGAAGGGGAAACCCCTCTACTGGCCGGGCTCCCTTGCCCTCTGCTGCCCCTGAGTTAGAGGCCAACTGTGCTCTCGCCAGAGTTGAAGGGAGTGGCTGTGGCAAGGGATCAGCTGGAGAATGATGAAAACAAAGAAGAAAGTTGAAGATAAAACAAGATTCATGTCCCGCTAGGAGTGAGGCAGGAAAAGGAACTGGCCTTTCCAGGTTGTTCCTCCCACTTGGGGGGGCAGGAAGGTGTTTTGTTTGTGTTTTTTCTCTTCCTGCCTCTAGGAGCAAATGGGAGGAGCAACCCAATCTAAAGAGGATCTCACCATCTCTGCTGGGAAATAACTACATTATAAATGGAAAAAGATATGGCATGATATCCTTTAACAAACAGACCTTTTAAAAGGTAAGAGAGTTCTCTTGATGACATGGTAATTCAGTATCTCATCCACCAATGTATCCTTATCACATAGATCTGTTACAGGTTTCAAACATCCAATAGTGGCAAGATATTCAGAACAATCACTTACTGCTGATTCTAAACTGCTCAAAGTTGTTGCAGATTTTATCTACAGAAGAAAATGAAACATTAATCAGCTTAATATGCTGAATATCTATCAGAAATAGAATGAATTTAGAATCTCGCTCTGCCAGAATAACCTTTTGACTTTTGAAAAATAGCACACAGACACACAAAATATGACATGTTTGAGGCAATTTGTTAGCTTTTTATTTCATTTAGAAAGACACCTCTCCATTGCCCAACTTCTTCACAATTTAGAAAATGGAAAACCCATTATATGAGATATTTGGTAACTCCTCAAAACTGAATTTCAGCAACTGTACTGTTGTCTTGAAGTACATGTTCTTTTTCTCATTTCATATTGCTACCTTCTTATTTTTCTTTGCTCAGCTACATATTGTCCTTAATTAACATGTTTAATCAGTGTTTGGTCAGTAGCTATGATTTCAAATAAAAATACATTTACTTCAAAAAAGAAAAAAGAAAAAAGAAGCTTAACATGCTAAATGAACCAGTAATTTCAAACTGATATATGTATTTCCAGTGAGAATAATGCCATCAAGTTATATTTAAAATAAAGTGCCTTACAGAACTATTTATTTTGGTGGCAAAAGTGATACAATCCAAGAGGTAGTGGATTGCTCCTTTGAACTCTCCAGAGAATGGCACTGTTGGCACTTGATATATACAATATATTTAAAACAGTAAAGGTGCAAAATATTTTTACTGTGGTACAAATGTTAAGAAAAACAAACTGGCACTTGTTGGTTGTGTACATATTCACCCCCTTTCCTGTCATCGGGCTAAATAAAAGCTCTGGTGCAGCCCATATCCTCCAGCAGTCACCTAAATAGTTGAATGGCATTCAGCTAGTACAATTCCTGTACCACATGATCTAAAATACACCTGTTTCTGGAAAACTACACAATTTGTTGTAGAGTATATTGAAAAACAGCATTATGAAGCTATCCAAACAAGCCCAGGATAAAGTTGTGCAGACAGACCTATCGGTTGGGTTATAAAAAATATTCTCAAACTAGGAGTGTTCCCTGGACACACAATTAAATCCATTATAACAAAATGGAAATAATGACTCAAGCACAACTCTGCCTAGATAAAGCTGTCCACCAAAACTCAGTAACCATGTAAGAAAGGCATTAATAACAAAAGCAACCAAGAAGCCAATGACAACTGAAGGAGCTAGCAAGCGCTACAGATGAGATGGGATATCTATGACCTGGAAACTCCACAAAGGAGGGTCATATGGAAGAGTGACAAGAAGAAAGCCATTGCTGAAACAAATCCATATCAAATCCTATTTGCGGAGTTTGCAAAAAGGCATATGGGAGACACAGCAAACACATAGATACATGTTCTCTGCACTGATGAGACCAAACAAAACATTTTGGCCTTGCCAGAAAAGGTTAAGTGTGGTGCAAAGCCAACAGCTCTCTTTTCCCTGAGAACATCAGTCCCATGGTGAAACATGATGGTGGCAGCATCATGGCTGCTTTTCCTTGGCAGGGACTGGAAAACTGCTGAGATTGAGAGCAAGATGGATAGAGCTTGAGAAAGGGTATTTCTAAAGGAAAACCTGTTTTAGACTGCAAAAGATGTGGGATTATAGGGGAGATTCACCCTCCAGCAGGATAATGAATCCCAGACACTTTGAATCCCAATTTTGGAGGGAGAGCGTGGTACAAATAAAATACACTCGTCCCTCCCCATTCACAGACTTGGAGTCCACGGTCTCGGTCCTTCGTGGACAGCAAGCAGGAAGGGACAAAATGGTGTGCGTGCCCATGGCGCACACCTCCATTGAAATCCCAGACCTCAATTTAATTTGAAAGTATCTGTACTCCAACAGTTCCCATCCAACCTAATAACTGAGGCAATTTTGTCAAGAGACATGAGCAAAAATTGCAGGGTCCAGATGTGTCAAGCTGCTAGTTGCCCAAAAAGGCTCCACAAGTTAGCAGTAAGGTGAATA